TCACGTGACCTCACTGACGCAACAGTATGTTTGTTTCTCTGCTGATCCAAGGTCAAGTTGCAGAACTAGGGGTGCTAGCGCATTCCAGGCTTAAAGTACGGGGATGCTGCGCATTTGATGATGATATTAGAAGAAGAGAGTAATGACAAATAGATATTACTAGATTTGTAAATAGGGCTACCATGAGAAATCTGATTGAAATGAGTTACTCCGGTTATCGGAATGCCTCGATCCTATCACTAAGAGGTGTTACAGTTTTGTTTTCATTGGTGTTTAGCACTCCCAATATATAAATTTTATAGTGTTTGTGGTGAAGGATAGATGACAACACCTAAACACCAGTTGTTTTAATTACTTTCTGTGGCACAGGGTGTGTGTGCGATTCACACAAATTTACCATCTAAGACAGGAATGATAATTCTCACAGTTTTGAGAAAATATTTTGGGATTCTACATATACCACCGTAAACCATAGTAAAATTAAACATCTGAACCTTGATGGTATTTTTAAAATAACTAAATTGCTGGACCTAAGTTAAAACTATTAGTGATTAGAAGTCATGTATCAAATTGAAAAACACCTAGAAATTAAATTTTTTCCGTGTTTATATCAACTGCCGATCATTTCAGGTGGAACACATTTTTCTGGTCAGGGAAGTTATTTTAAACCTTCTTAGTAACCGTTTCAACTCCCTTAACTCTGGTAAACTAAAATAAACTTGTATATATAAGCCTTTTTTTTGCGGTTTAATATATCATTTAAACACTGGCTATTGACCTCTAGGCCTGAAACTTAGAGAAGTTGAAAGTAACCAATGGTAATTTGCAGTCTATAATTAGATTATTTCAAGTATAAAAGAAAAGTAACAAACTTACCAAGTCAAAAATTAGTATGCTTTTTAAACTAAAATAATATTTTGATTAAGAAAAAAATCGAAGAAACAATATTAAAACACTCTTTAGAATGGAGTTTTGATATTCCACTTTGAAACGTTTGAGGGACAGAAATGAAGCCCATTATTCACTAAATAGTAAAAGGTGTAGAAGAAGTTAAATAACTGCTGCCGAGGGAAGATTAGTTGAAATAAAAAAGTATCAAATACATTTTTGATATTTCATACTTAAGAAAAAGAAAATAGAACACATTGTACTCTTTGATATGCAAGACAAGTGGGGATTTTATTGTTAAACAAAAAGTCCACCTGTTTATCACTCATAATGGTAGGACAAGAGCTGAAGAAAAAAGAGAGAGAAAAACAGTATATTTACGGATGAAAAAATAATGAAATACAGCTAACTACCTTTATCTTTAGAGCTTATCATATTAAAGGTTATTTGATTAGAGAATCCAGAAAAATGTAGTCCATTCCAAATATATATAACTCAAAGAATATTGCACTGCATCTTACAGTTGCTTCTTTCAAGTTAAATAAAAAAGCTCGTCTGAAGATTTTGACATCTCTCACCACACTATGTCATTAAAAAACTCATAAAAAACCCTATTACTTTTGAAAGGTGACCTTTTTCTGGGATGAAGGCAAGTCAACCTGTAGAAAACGATAGAATTTTAGAATTTATCTTCTTTTTAATGTGATTTACCAAACATTTTAAGAGTGATCTTAGATATCATCCAATCAATATGTATTGTTACGTCTCCGTTTGGTAATTGATTTTCCGTAACTTTGTTCCGACGAAACTTTAGCGACACAAGTCCTTTCTTAATAAAACTGGTTTATTCTTTCCGAATATAACTTTACCGATACACTCAACTTCAACAATCGCGCTAAACAAACGCTGTAACGTCTCTCGTGCTCTCTGACTGCAGTTCAATTACTCACTGTCTATACACACATTACATTACATTCCCGCGTCACGTTGTCACCCTCTTATATATACCAGACTACCCTATCTAGTAAATACTAGAGCATTCATGAAGGAACAAGATTGTTCTAGAAACTAGAGGGCGCCACACCAGTCACGTGACCTCGATGACGCAACAGTATGATACTCAAAGTGAATATTTTACTAAACTATTGAAGAAAAGTTTAAGTATCTTCATAAATATAGGAATCACTAGACGTATCAGTCACACCAAAACCTTGTTAAACTCCTGTAATTCAAGCTTTATATAGTTTACAATAGAGAGAACTGTTTCTTAGTACTAAAAACTTGGTTATGCCTTTTACAAAAAAAAACATACTTTTATGATATGTCTACACCGTTTAAACTTTCTTGCGAAACACGTATTTCGAAAGAAAGTTTAGAAATATAATTTCAAATGTAAACTGATTTTGCAATTTTTGAAGGCTTTTGATGTTTAGCAACTATGTTTTTAAGAGCTGTATATAAGCAACTTTTAATTTTACAAAGATCCCACTTTTCGATTAGTCATGAAATGGACACATGAGAAAACTGTGTTGTTAATTGAAGCGTATGAAACAATACAATGTCCCGAGGATCTACGATACATTGATTATTAAGACAAGAAGAAAAAGTGATACATAACTTGAGCTTGAGAAAACTCTTTAGATTTTAGTGTGTAAAAAGCGCCTAAGAATTTTCATGCAAATCACACTCAGTTTAAAGTAGAAAATAGAAAAGTCTATAATTCAATGACGCAGAAATCTAGTGCTGAAGATGTATGCCCACCCTTAAAGTAAGGAGAAATAGCATCACGATGTGTTATGTTCTTCTTGACTGTGACTAGACTCACTAAACCCAAAATATTCTGGATACATTAACAGCAAAATGTGCTTTGTGGGGTCCCGGAAACGTAGTTTATTAACAAGGGTTATTTGTGCAAGAATTCTTTTGAAAATCTCGGATATTGACGAACATACAGCTCCTTGTTTGCAATAAGTCTATAATTAATTACATATGTATGTATGCAGTAGTGAAACCAAGTTTTCACTACTTCATTCGACACGGAAGATTATTAATTCAGTGTAGGCAAACTGTTTCGAAATTTTGTTTCTAGAAAAATCTTTAGAAATATAAATCATTGTTTGTATTTACAAATTGATGTTTCATTTGAAAGTGTCCATAATGAGGACGCATCTTTAAGACTGCTACTCTACTTTTCCTTTTGTACAATATTTACATACCTTTGTATTTAAAACGGTTATGTCATTAAAGACTTTTATTTTCAAATTTCAAAATATATTTTGATTTCTTGATATATTATTAATACTTTTGTAATTTAAGACCTATATTTTTTGAAGTTGGCTGATATTTACCACTATCCCAATGTAAGTTAAATACATTTATGGCGTGAATGTAGTACGCCATCTTAAAGAGTTGAATTGTGACAACGAGATCAAGAAAGCTATTAAAAAACTTTGAACAACTATGGAAAATTCAAAAGAGACAATCATAACAAATTAATCCCTAAATTGTTTAATACTATGTAAATATTCGAGTAATTGAAATATAATCATTTCCCATTAAAGTTTGTTGTTAAGCGTAAAACTACACAATAGGGTACATGTGCTTTGCCCACCATCTGTATCCAAATCCGTTTTTTTTAGCGTTACTAGTTCTCAGAAGTAACACTGAGCCACCACGGGGATCTCATTAAAGAAAAATAGAAAATCTTTTATTATAATATGTTTAACCTTTTGTACGTACGTTATTACCTTCCATCATCGTATGTATCGATAAAAATATAGTCACATCTCGGTGTTAGTTAAATTAGGTTCGAACTTCCAAATTTACACAACTACTGCCATGAATTATTGTTACATTTTCATAAGTTTCAGGTTCATTAGCTTAATAGAGAATAATATGAGATGAAAATTGGTCCTTATATCATGATAAAGAGATGGGAACACTGATACGAAAAATTGATACATGTGAAAAATAACGCTCGTAGTGAGGATTTTTTTTTTTTTTACGAAGAAAACTATATGTCGAACCAATCATGGAGCTTCTCCTGCATCTGAGCCACCCTGGACAGTTTAACGTCAATGGGCTTTTCTGTATCATACAATGAAGGTGACTGGAGAAGGATGCCAATAGTGCCAACTAAGCAGGTTATAGAAAAGAGCCACAGGAACAGCCGGTCGAGTACCATAGCAACGTACTTCCAGTCCTCTTTTATCTGGAACAAGCATAAAATATGCACTGGTTATATCATAGGCAATTCTTTCATATGCCTGTACAATGCATTATACTTCTACTAAACCTATTTCTTGTGAACTGTCAAAGATTCACTAAAAATACTTGGTAATTATATTTCGTAGGTTTATAATTTAAAAACATTGGTGTCTTGTATCATTACTTTATTGTAACATGACTGAAACTCCTTTTCTACTTATCGACCCTAATTTGTTACTTTAGCTTATTCAAGTAATTAATGTCGTGATGTAGAGACACCAGATAGAATAACTTGACTGGTGAAAAGAAAAACTAATTGCTTAGAGTTTGCAACTGCACGTTTAATATATCTCTAGTTAAATAATGAACCTTTGTAATTTGTCTTATTAAAGCTTTATGAACAGATACCCTGATACATTGAATCTGAACAATGCAGCAACAAATGAATAGAGTTTTGAAAAATACGCACTTCCATGTGTATGAAAAGTTTATTCAGTTTTATAAAGGATGCAGTGATGAAAACAAAGTGTACAATAATGAGCATAACTCCTAATATATATAATTAACAACCCAAAATATCAAGTATGTTTTGCGTAATCAGTCTAGAGCAATTTAGATTCAACACAACGGCTGTAAATGCAACTTTGGTTTCATTACCCAAAGTATTTTCATGTGTTTGATGCAATCCCATAACAAAAGTATTGCTATTAATAACATAATATTTACGCTAGAATCACTACACATTTTTATTCCCACATAAATTACTCTTTTATATAACGAGTAACGTGAAGAGAAGGTGGTGCCTCTTTGGCGAAAATGTCTCAATTATTATTACCAAGTTCTCATTTTAGGGATAAATACTGTTATTTTTTAACCGTGAAATTACCCGATTGTTTTTGTATTGATTACTACCGATGGAGTCTACATATTGCATAACTTCATGTTTTTCCTTTATAATTCTCAATGTAAAGAACTGACCACAAAAATTGAGTGAAATCACTCATTTTCAACAAAAATACACAGAGGATCCTAGCAGGAATTAATTGGGTTAAATGTAATATTGATAGTATTTATGTTTACCTTTTTTGTGTGATTCGTATGTTATTACGGGTCCTGGAACATACAAAGTCACGGACCCACAAATAATCTGGTGCATTGGTTGAGAGGAAAGTGTTTAAAAAGTTCACGTGGTTCTCATCGGTAATCTTAAAGTTTTATGTGCTGTTGTACATTTATAATATGTTGTATGCAATTGTTATAAAATACTTTTCAATGTCTCGAAATACAATGTTTACCGTATATGATTCTAATAGAGATAGAATTTGATAAAGAACAGATAGAATTTAACATCAAGTGCACTGATAAAGGACTAAATATACTAAATGCAAAAGTGAATATTTTTATTCTTAGTATGTTTCGAAAATTTAAAATTGGTTGAAAATTGATTTTTAAAAGCAACGACAATTATAAAATAAATTAAGAAAATCGTTGTATATATGAGATTTAGAGTTTTTTATTGTTTATGCAATTTTGATACCTTCTCCTAACATGAAAAATGTGGATTCACTAGTTCATCTAAAGTTCAACAGATTAAAGTATCTGCCCTTTGTTACGCAACCTGAAGTTATTAGTGATCAAACAGATCCATTGATATTTAAAAGTCCCAAAGTCGTAAAGGGACTGACGGACAAAGTCAATTTATATATTGATGCGCTAATACTTTATCTGTTTGGTTTCACGCGAAGAATTTTTTTCTTATAATGCATTACTGCAGTAATCATTCTATAGTCTTAGTTTTCATTTCCCCCAAATCTGTAATGAAATCAATGTACTTACGCCATCATAGTCATCTTGATTATCAATATGTTGAGCGATAAACATGGCGTTGTGAATGGTAGTTTCCAATCTCTCCGGAAGCTTTCTTTCAAGATAACTCGGACTTGACTGAAGTTCTTGAATAATGATTTCTTCAACTGTGTAGCGGCCAAAAGGTTGGGAGTTATTTTCTTTGCCAGAGCGTTGTGCTTCCGAAACACTAGAAGTTCGACCTTGTCCATCTACGTTTCGGATGCCAGCCCCATCTTGTTTGTCGTCCATGTCACTGTAATTCTTGTATTGTGGTTCTCTCATGAGAAGAATTTTCGGGAGTGTGCGGATAAATACTTTCCTCACCCAAGGTTTCAATTTGTGGGTAGAAGGCGATCGAAAGTGGACGTTTAGAACCACTGTGGTTACGACCACAGTTACGGTAAGAAGAATCATAGTGAAGAGGAGATACTTCCCTAGAAGTGGCAGAGCTAAAGATGTGGAGGGTATAATTTCCGAAAGAACCAAGAAAAAGAAAATTAGCGAAAGAAGTATGGAAATGCACAAAGTGATTTTTTCCCCACTGTCGGAAGGAAGGTAAAAAACTACTATGGACAAGCAGCCTATGCCCACACAGGGAATGATCAAATTGACAGTATAGAACAGAGTTTTGCGTCGTAAGGTGATGTTAAAGGTAATGTCTGGATACGGTTCAGCGCAACAAGCATAAAACTTTTCCTTGCGCTTAGCTGGTACAGACATAATATCCCACTCAACACTTAAGTAGAATTCACTCAAGTCGATTCCCAGGGGCACCAGGCTGGAGTTTTCGATCTCTTTCAAATGTTTTAGGTCAACCTGTAAGGAAATTACGCTTTTGAAACTCTTCATGTTAAAGTTTCTAGGGGTCTTTAATAAAACTAAGACCTGTGGGGGAGTTAGCAAAGCAATTACTGAATACTTTTGGTAATAAGTAAAAAATATTTTGAGTTATTCGTTATCGTACTCTGATGCTGTTAGTCCGCTATTACATTTCAAAAATAAGTAATGGACAGTGCATGCTGTCTTGCGATACAAGTGACAATAGACACATCTAAAAATAACCAACTTAGGCATGATACAAAATTGCAAGCGTCGATCGGAATATTGTTGCCGGTCAATGAAAAGCCATTTACTTTAGTTAAACAATTTTCGTTAGGTACTTATATATAAGTGTTATATATGTGTTTTAGTTTATACAATTTATAGATCTATTAAATTCACAGTCGTATATGTAATATTTGGCTTACAAGGAGCGCATACAACCCAAAATTTAGCAAAGACCAGCCATAGCACCATTGCTTGGCCACCACAATCCTCGTATGTCAGTCCAATTCAGCATCTGTGGGATGAACCTAAAAGACACATTCGCCATCAATTATCGTCTGTCATCACGTTCCATGAATTCCTTACAATATTAAAGATTAAATGTGAAAAAGCCTGAGAACATCTTACAGAACTTTAAAGATTCTATCTCACGTCCTATCATGGGCAAAAGGTGGCCCAGCCTGTTATTAATTATAAGTTCTAAGAATGTGGAAAGCCAGTTAGTGTTTATATATATATATGTTTAATTTCACAAGTTTTAAGCTAAATCTAAGTTTTGTTTTATTTCTGAACCCCCCGACTTCCAGCGATGCACCCTTTGTTTTGCTGTTCTTATCATTTCAGTTATCAGTTATATTATGATTCTGAAATTTCAGTCACAAAATCAAAATCATATGGTTTGAAAGAGAAAACAAAAATAGCAGGAGTAGCACATCATAACGGATGTTAGCCCTCCTTTCGCAGATATCAAACAAATGTATATGGTTGACATAGGTACCTTTTTACCCAATTATATACGGAACCTTTATGGATACGGGAATTAAAATTGTTATATGAAATTGTAAAACATTTTAGTAATGAAATGGATTACTTATGCCACGAAGCAACATTAAATAGCTATATAATTAATCCACGTTCCCAATCAAAGGGTTACCGAACACAATACATTTATCTTATTAAGAAAAGCTTATAAAGGATTTAAACCAAAAAAAAAAAATAAATAAATAAAAAAAAATAAAGGGATTAGTAAATATCAGCACATATACATAAACAAACATTTTTGTAAACCCTGTGTGTTATATACCTTGTAACCATCATGAGACCAGGATCCGAATTTCATGTGACATTCCTGGCGATCAAATGGAAAGTACTGAACGTCTATCTGACAAGAACTTTTATAGATGGCTGGGGGGTTCCAGACTACCTTTCCGTCATCATGGATGATAGCTTTGGTCATGATTGTGACTTCATAGTTTCCATCAGCGCTGAAAAAGTTAACATTTAAAAGAAAAAATCTACATTTTAAATAAAAATAACAAATTTTCTACTTATTGATATCATTTTTTGTATATCTATACTGTTTTGACTAATACATAGTAGAAAAATTATTTCTTAGAATTCGTATTACGAACGTTTACATTTATCCTATAAGTTATTATGTTAATTCTATCAATAGTTTTTATTAACTTTAAAATCGTGAGTCAATTACACAGAAATTGACATGTTTTAGTAGAAACTTTGAAGCGAAAATCCGCTAGACTGATTTCTGATATAAAACTGTGCATAAGTTTATGGTTATCTCTTGCTTCTAAAAACGCAACGAGAATCCCAAAATTCAAATTCGGTGACGAAGAACCCACTTTGAGACTAATAATGGCTGGAGACGGTTTATGCTGTTATGTTAAACTTATATTAAAGTTTTTTTTTTTCCATTACCCATTCAAGCCGTCTCCAGCCATTATTAGAATCCCAAAATGTTGTTTTGATACTGATTAGTTCTGTAAAAATGGTTCCACAAAATTTACATTTCATGCAGACATCACACATTTGCAACTAAGATTAGGGTAAGCATAACTTCCAGATTCTCCCAGTGTATATTGACTAGTTTAGCACTGAAAACAGGTGATATTTAGGTACATTTGCCAATGACAATGGACTTTTACCCAAAATATTAACACAAATATGGAGAATAACTCATTTTCAAACAATGATTTCCCTGCACAAGGTGTATTGGTGAGCACAAAACTTGTATTGTTTCAAAGCAGTAATACTGAGATATCATTTAAATCTAACTTCAACACTTTATTTTCGTTTGCCGTGTATTGTGATGACCTAAACAGCTACCATGTTCTTTAATGTCGACTCCAGATTTTAGTGTTAACAGATAAGAGAATATGAGCAAATGAACAAAAGTCTGAAATACTAAAAATTATCAGAAGTTATTTGTTGGTGAACTGGAAATTTGGCAATTTCTTCAAATAGGTGAAAAATGTAGATTATTTTACCAAATGTTCTGCTATTACAATGTAATGTTCTGCTCGTTTTTAAGGTGATTCGGATTTCTAGTATTTTCCGAGAAACATTTTACAACGAATTCTTGGCAAAGCTTACTTTTATGTGTGTGATTTCAGGTTTGATTCTTTAGCGTATAGAAATGGATAGTTATAAGGTCACTATGTTGGCGGAAGTGGGGAGGGGTGACGTCATTTGAGATAGCGAATTCTATATATTTTTGTTATGGTTTTGTTTATCGTTCAACTATTATTCCTTCCTTCTACCCTTTAGTTTACCTATGAATTTTAATTACATTAAAACATTAACTTCCCTTCTAGCTGATCGCGCTTATTTTGAATAAATATGTAGTATTATGGAACAGATACCAACTTCTCTAGCAGTGATGTACAGGTATTATTAATGTAGCAAAAGATTATGTAAATTTATGATCACATGAGATGTACTCTCGTGACTTAATGAGGTGAATAAATACCCTACCATAAGCTTCATAAGCTGAGTCACGACTCACGAGATAGTCAGTGAATAATATAGTTAATGAATTTTTGCTGTTTGTCACTCGATATTGTTATTAATATAGAAGAGTGATTTTAGAATTTTCTTCTTCTTCTGGTTCTTTTTTCCTGATTCCATTAGATGAAGTAATTAATACTAATATTTATGTTTTATTGTTCATTAATGTTAGTATCAAGCCCTGGCCAGGCACGTGTTTATTAATTGTGTTTTTGGTAGTGCTAAATATTATTCCCAGTGTTGTTACAATATAATAAATTGTTTTTGTTGAACCTTGTTGTAGTGGCATGTTATTTTAGATTCTTACATTGGCGCCCAAACAGGGACGCTTCTTCATAAAGGTTGAGTTGGATTGATTGTTTGTTTCTTAATTCAGTGTCAAATGATTTTTCAGCAGTAATTTAAGTTCAGTTAAATGCAATTTAACTATGGAAAGTAGCGAATCTCATGAAGCAGTCTGTGTCGGTATTGTTGAAACAGGTGGAAATGCTAACATCTATGGTGACTGATCTATTAGCAAAAGAAACGAAGTCTCCTTCCTATCAATCTCAAACTTCGAGAGTCCATTTTACCTATAGTCCTATGGACAATTCATCGATTTTACGTCACCTCAGTCAACCCACCACCCCTGCCTCTTGAGAATTTTGATGGTAAGTCCGATTTTAATGTCTTAAAGTTTCTTAAAAGTTTGAAAAGGCATTTTTATATTTATCAAGTACCTGAGAATAAAAATCAGTGGAATATGTGGCTTCTTGTTTGAGAGGAGTGCCACTATAAAGGTGGAATGCTTTCAGATCAGAAATGACTTTAGCAGAAAGCACCACGCTAATGGAAAGCTGTGAAAACTCATAAATTATGGAACCCTGAAGCTACAGAAAGAGAAATGATGAAGCTTATAATATCACAATTTCACGTTTCTCTACGAGTATACTTAGAATGCTACTTTGTTCTATCTATTGCTGATGTGCTTCTTTGAACATCACGAGAATAATAAACAAGAAACTGTTAATAGTGAAGCAATTAATGTAACTGAATGCCGTAATAGATCTGTGCAATGTGATATTAATAATCAAATAGGGTACTTACCTGTGCATTGTTTCAAGAAAATAAAATATGTAAACAGGGAACAAAGAAATATAGGACAACAGTCAGGATACGGTCGAGGTGTCCCATTGGACAAAATTTGGTGATGTTATGTCAATTTGTCTCTTTGACAACCAAGCGAACGTAATGGGGAATTTCAGCCAATTATTAGGATTTTTGTACGTCAGCAATACCAAGCGTGAGGCGTGCATATACCCGATTTCATTTTATTACTCATCACAATCTCTACCAACCTACCCTAAAATCCAATTATATGCTCAAAGTAGCGCATCGTCCCTTTTTGATATATATATCGCTGGAAGAAGTTTAAAAAGACAAACTTGCTTGTCGCGGCAGAAAATGTCGTCATTTCATGCAAGTTGCGTGTCGATTGGTACCTCAACGGCCGAGATGTCGGCGTGACATACGGACGGCTTTTCGTCTTTATATAGAAGATTAACATTAGTATCAAGTCCTGATCGGGCAGATATTTATCAACTGTGTTTTTGGTAAGTGCTGAATTTTATTGTTTCAGTTTAATAAATTGCTTTTTCCTTGAACTCTGGTTGTAGAGGCGTGTTATTTCAGACCGTTACAATCGTATGTAATCAACATGCATACGTAAATGATATGGAAGTTAATAAATAATACTTAGCTAATTTATTAATTAATGGTCAATTAATTAGATGATTACTACGTAAATGATACACAGATTGAAGTGATTTAATATGCATAATTACTTACTTAATTATGATTGATATGTAAACTTTAATTAATATGCACATATTAATCAATCCTAACGTTTTAATATCTAATATTATTTCTGTTAATTAAAAATTAATTAATTATATCAATATGCAATTATTAGTAAAGTATAATAGCAAATCATTTTTTAATAATTAATGTTCAATCCCTTAACGCAGGCGGGTGTTTTTTCAAGAAATCGGATTTGCTAGACTGCATCATACGATTACATCAACACCACAAGGTTGCTAGGAGACTGATGACATCATCACCACAAGGCACATTGCTAGGAGACTGACATCATCACCAAAGAGCTAACATTGATCTTTGCATATTATTTCAATGGATTTAGTTTTCGCCTTTATAATTAACCTATACGCATTCTTCTGTTTGAAAAGAAGGACATTCGATGATTTTAGTAGATCATACTTTTACTCTATAACAAGTAAAGAATTCGGACAAATCTCGTATTTTACATTTTCAAATAGGTTATTCTTTTACTTGTAACAAAACCAATATGTTTTAAGCAGATATCGTTAATATATGTCAGTTGAATAACCAATTTAATGACACTGAAACAAATAGTAACAAAACCGGCCCCATGTTCAGAATTTCTAAAACCACGAGATGAAGAACATCGACTCAGTTTTTTCTATGAGTAATCATGTCTCTCCTACCCCATGAAATGTCTTGTCAGTGTAAAAAGTCTGAGCTAGACTTATTTTCTCTCCCTCCCAGCTATAGTAACTATCTCGTTCAAATAATTTACTTGTAACTTTTTAGGACATATAATTAAATCTAAATACAAAAACTACAATATTAATGACTTGATTCTAATGAAATGACAAACTTTTACCGGAAGTCGTGTTTGTACTTAAGCGCAAAGCTACACAATACGCTGTTTGTGCACTGCCCACCACGAGTATCGAAACCCGTTGTAAGTCCGCAGACATACCGCTATGCCACTTGGTGGTGGGCGAGCGGTGCGTTAGAAATTTGCTAACGTAAATCAAAAACATTGTATGCGTCTCTTAGAATTTACCAAAGTCGAAAAGCTCTAATTAATAACTAGGGGTGCGTATCTCATCATAATAGTCGATACGATAGCTATGTAGATATTGATGCCGCGATACGATATTTATCTAGATACTAACGGTTTGTTACAAAGTTTGACAGTCTTATCTGTAATTTATTATTTATATTGCTGACATTGTCTTATTTAAGCACTTTACAGTGATTTTTCAAATTCTCAGGTTTGATCAACTAAATGGCAGCTGGAAATAAAGAAAACATGTAGTACTCAATACTTATCTTCCTTTATTGAATCATTAATTTTGAGCAAAAATTCTTTATTAGAAATTCAGATTTTTTTTTTTTTATACAAAAGACAACGTTTATTGAAAGCTTGCCAAATTTTGTGAATATATCTAAATCATATCGTATCGATACAATCATATCTCGGCTTTACGATACGAGTATCGTATCTCTGTATCGCCACATCTTTAATAATAACATGATTTCATGATATAAGAGATATTATAGATATTATTGATTATTTTTTGTGAGTGAATATTTTATTATTGTTTATTTATTGTTATAATAAGAGTTAAAAGCATACAATTGTAGGAAGTTT